GTTAAACCAGTGTCAGCCTTTTGAGCCTCATGAACCCCATGTTATATTTGTTGAGTACGACATGTGCTCACCCTTGCTATTTCCCCACACCCGCAGACTCTAGAAAAGTTACTCCGAAGATTGATGGAGTTACGGATGAGTTCCCAGAAGACTGGTATAAGTGCTAGGCATATGATACCCCCAGTCAGCCGTCCCTATGAAGGATGGAGCCTGAAGATTAGCTACCGCCCCGTGATACTCTGATGTAAGTGTTAAATATGAGTATATTTTCGTTATATAATAGAGCATTGTTTCTTGATACTATTATAATTTGTCGGCTTATATGTGTGACTGATCTCTAGGCGCACATAAGATTATACATCCCATTTTATCATTAAAATCGGGTGTGACACACTTGTCCTCCCTTTTTACCCTAACTGTCTTATCTCTGTCCTTACATTTGACGTCTGTGTATCCAACCCAAAGCATCTTGTACCATAGGGTCCTGTTTGGATTTAATGAATTTGTGGAGTTTTAGAAAAATATTATGGTTTTGTGAAAACTTTGGTTTTAAAGTGGCATGAAGTGTTTGGATGTAACAAATTTTATGGTTTTGAATGTCATGGTATTGCTAAAATTATAGTCTTTGTGGAGTTTTAAAAATCCCCTCGAAATACTTCTTTTTTTTCTAAAGCATGGTGTTGCACGTCAATAGATTTTAAAACTGTAGTTTCTTGATGCTAAGGTTTCTTAATACTACAAAATCCAAACAAGCCGTAACCCATTTTCAGCTTTTTTTTTTATAAAGGACTACCTCGAAAAGCTAGCGGTGGCAACATGAGTTGAGCACAAACATGGGTGCATATGGATCATGTGCATATCTTCCTTAGCCTAGCTGACCACCATGAGTTGGGCACAAACGCTAGGCACAAAAGGCCATGTAGATGACCAAGAAAAGAGGAGCGCAAAAATAAAGATAATGTGCTAGCAAACATGTCATATTTAATTAGACAAGCAATTGATCGAACAGGACTATAAAAAAAATCTTTGATTCCTTGGTTCCTGTAGTCCAAGCCTAACAAAAACAAAGCTGCTTTTCTGTCACAATTATTTTAAGACTAGCAGCAGTTAGTTATATAGCCAAACAAGCTAATGTCACATTACATTAGATGGGTCATCATACCCACTTGTCCTCCCTTTTTACCCTAACTGTCTTATCTCTGTCCCTACATTATTATTTGACATCTGCGTATCCAACCTTCAGTTATCCTGCAGTACCATATATCATTAACCCCATTTTCGCTTTTATATTATTTTTTTTATAAAAGACTATCTCGAAAAGCTAGAGTTGGCAACATAGAGAAAGAGGTGGGCAAAAGCAATAAGCTAGTATATATACATGATTATCATAGCTGTATATGTAAATAAATATATTAACTTATTAACGGCATATATAAATATATTAACTTTAATTTACTACATAATTAACCAAAAATAACCAATTATGATTAAAAGAAACTGCTCCAAGAGAGTGCCGAGAATTGACTGGTGGTCATGTCCAATTGACTTGTCATGCATGATTATTTATTGTAAACTAGGAGGACCTCTATTTTTTTATCAAACTTTGCTGTCAATGCAGCCTGCAGGAATCAAGAAACCGGTGCTGCAGACTGTAGCAGTGGAAATTTAGTGACTGCCATACTTGAACAATTCAGTGACTGAATGCGTGCAGATTTTTTTGCAGGTGGACAATTTATGAGAGGAGGAGAGCAGAGTACAGATGATTTATATTCCCTCCGTATTAAAATAAATGCACATCTCTTTTATGAGGAATTATTTTTTATAAAGTTTGACTAGCTATGTAGAAAATAGTTCCGCTCACGAAAAAAAGCTACGTAGAAAATAGTTCCAATATTTATATCTCTAAATGATTAGCCATATTATTTCTTTTATAAATTTGATCAAACTAAAAAAATTAACTAAGTGAGACATGCATTTATTTTAGTACGAAACGAGTACATGTTTGCAAGATTGATATACACTAGTCCATCACGCGCGCCCTTGCGCGCGTAGTATATTAGGACGATTATCATATACAGATGTAGAATATTTTTTGGCAAAGAATTTGTTTCTCCTTGACCACCGCTGACTAAATAAATTCAGTTTATGTTAAGAGGGAATGCTGATAAGATGAGTAAGTTAATATATAGACGCATGTAACCTGAAGATCCAAATGGGCAAAAAAGGATGAGCGCATACCTGGTTGATGCTGGTACCATTGAGAATCGACATATTGAATATGTAAGAAACCAGGAAGGCAAATGTAATCAAGGAAATGACATCTACGGAAAAACGTGAACAAACTGCACATATGAATACATTAGTGAACCACTAAATCTAGAACCATTCTTCACATGTCAACATGACAACAGATTTGGCCAATTTCATCGAATGAAACTGAAAGGTGTGGAAAATCATTGTAATTCAAACATACCTTACAATTCAACCACCAATTAGCATAGATGCAAATCCAACTGGCTGCTGATTCCCACTGCAAATTGGATGCCTGTGTACACCATCAGTCACTACTCCATGTCTCAATTTTACTATAGACTGATGCTTTGTCAGAGGTTAGATGGATGGACAAGAAAATAAAAGAAACAGAGGAGATCATCAAACAATAACCACAGAGCTGAATGACTACTCCATAGACCGACTGGTTCACATCAGACCTTTAGATATGGTTGGGCAAGTAAATTTTAAAAAATATTTATAGCTCATATAAGGATAATTGGCACAGCTGAGTTGCCACTCCATGTCTGAATTTTATCTACTCCATGCCTCAATTTTAGTATAGACTGATGCTTCATCAGAGCTTAGATGGATGGGCAAGGAAATAGAAGGAACAGAGGAGGTCATCAATCAACAATCAGCAGAATGACTACTCCGTAGACTGACTGGTTCATAGTAGCCAAGTAAAATCCACATTGAGATATGAATGAAAGAAGATTCCAGGCTATTGCCTAAGGGGGAAATCAATTAATTGAAGCTAAACAATGCACTGCAATAAATTTGGCTGGAACCAGCAGGTGTGAAGTATTTCCTGAAAAAATGACCACGTTAATATACAATCACCAATATTTGCAGGAGCACAAGAGACCTGAAGAAAAGGATTAAATTTCTGGAGATGCACCTTTCTCACCTTGTCATTGTGGCTGAGCATGTACATATGGATGTGTAGGAGGCCAAAAGAATATAAGACGATAAAAATCCTGAAACATTGTCCTTCAAAGCAATCTGTATTCAACATTTTGAGTATGGAGATGATTACTAGCGCATCGCAGGAAAGTTTCCAAATTAATTCAGTGAGCCCACAAAACTGTATGGCAGGCAAGGTTAGTTTTTTTTCCAGTTTCCAAAAGAAAAAGGAGGAAAAAGAGAACTCGTTTCTACATCCTGTAGCCTGGCTACGGAGGAGATGATTGTTAGTGCCCAAAGGAAGGAGATAAAGCACAACCTGTCCACGTAGTAAAACAGTCACATAAATCAGGCTGAATAAATGAAATCATGTATTAACTCGGGTTAAAACCAATGGACGTATACTTGGCGGAGCCAAACTCCCAGAACCTTTTTCACAGGGCCAGCTTGGAGCCATACTCGCACAACCAAAGTCTATGCTGCGAGATATGAGCTTCATCATGATAGATAGAGTGAGGGCAAGAGAGAGAGGAGACCTAGGAGATTACCTCGTCGTCCACGCAACCGCCGCTGCTATCGCCGACGAGCGTCTCCACACGGGAGCAGGGCACCGTCGCCGAGGGCGAGGTCGGCGCTGGGCGAACGCGACCTGCAGCACAGGCAGCTAGGGTTTATTGTAGCACATGAGCAAACGCGGAGCAGAGGGAGGAAAGAGAGGAGGGAGCGCCGGAGGGCAGCCACGCCGGTGGCCGCCGGCGGGGCCCACTGGCGCCGCGTCGTGGCCGAGGACGGGCGGTGCCACGCCGCAGCCTGGGGGCGCCGTCATGCCCCGCAAGCGCCTGGTGTCGTGAGGGCACGCCGCGACGCGAGGGGAGAGGAGGAGGAGGCCAGTCACAGCCGCCGTGGCCCGGCAGTGGCCATCCCCGGGCACGGTGCCGCGCGAGGGAGGAGGAGGAGGGCCAAAGCCGCCGGCGCCCTGTTTGCAACGGGAAAGAAAGGAGGCAAAGGGGAGCGAAGAAGAATCTAGAATGAGAATCGGAAGCTCGCGTATATATTTGGTGGGCTGGCTCCGGAGCAGAAGCCGAAAAGCAGACGGAAGACAACAAGGAGCAGCAGAAAGCCACTCGTTCGAGGAGGAGGCAGAAGAAGCAGATTCTAAAGGAAGCGGCTACAAGCAATCTGGGCCACACGATAGAGGATCGGATGGCTGAAAACAATTTGGGTGGCGTGGACGTTGTTCCTGGCGGCCAAACCAAACCGGCTTAATGATAGTAGATGCATGGTAGGAGGGTATGTCCCACCCGCTCATTGTAGCAATCATGGCACTTCCCCTCTCTCCAGCATATTGCTGCTTCCACACACATGAGGCCACCACAACAAATAAAAGCACTGCTGCTGTGCCTGCCTATATTGATTTGCTTTGCTTGCCCCCACACGCCCCTCTCTCTCTCTCTCTCTCTCTCTCTCTCTCTCTCTCTCTCTCTCTCTCTCTCAACGCGAAAAGAAAAGAGGAAAGTGGCCGGGATAGCTCAATCTATCCTTCCATCCTCTCCCGGAGCCGCCCTCTCTCTCTCTCTCTCTCTCTCTCTCTCTCTCTCTCTCTCTCTCTCTCTCTCAACACATATATACTCGAGATACATATATATCAGTAGGATGGATGTGCAAACCTAGCCTGCTGCCTTTCTAGCTGCAAACTGAGCTGTACCTGTTAGTCTTCGTCCTCGCTCTTCTTCTTGCTGGTTGCCGGGAGCTGAGATCGAGAGTACTGCTGTTGTTCGCACGGCGAGGCGGCGGCGGCAGTGGGCGGAGACCGATCAGAAGGAATGTCGTCTGCCCAAATCGCGCCGGCTGATCATGTGTGCTATGTGCACTGCAACTTCTGCAACACAGTTCTCGCGGTAAGCTAAGATCTATCTGTCTTGCCTGCTGTGCGGATGATCTCTCTATCTGCTACTTTATTTTTCGTTCTCTCTTTCCCTTTCTCTGCCTCTGTAAATCTGCTTTCAAGATTTATGTGCACTTGTGAAGTGACTGCCCGCCTGGGTGAGCAACCCCACCCTCATCACCACACAATTGTCCTGTTCTATCTTCATAATTTGTTTGTACTCTCTTCAAATTGCTTTTCTATTGCTAGCTGCTTTTGTTGAGACTTGAGAGTCGTCCTTTCTCCCAATTAACCAAAAAGAGCAGTCAATTGGCTTTCTTCATGATCTGCCTCTTATGTCATCTGCTTCTTCAATTTCTTCAAATTTAGTTCCTAATTTTCTCTTTAAAGCTCCCACTTTGTTTGTTCTAATTTTTTTTTGTCTCTAGAAAGAAATAGTTTTAATTGTTTGAGGCCAGGTGCATCGATCGATCAATTTGATGGATATATAGTTCAATTTGAATTTGTACGTCTGAAAGTTCTCAAGATTTGTTTGGTTGCTCTGTACACTGTACTTCTGTATGTGATATTTCTTGGGGATACACCAAAATTCCTGCATTATCCTCGTGTTGCACCATCTAGAATCCTTTGATTTTAATAACCTGAAACTAGTGGAGAACAGTGTCCACTATACAGAAATCAAAGGCAACTGTAGCAGTGTATATACATGCATGTGCATGAATATTGAATTTTACTTGAATATGCACTATCTTCCAGAAAGGAGTTATATACTCTGCTACTTGGGCATAATTGCAGGCATGCATGTAGAAAGAGGTTTCAAAAACAAGTAAAATATTTAGTTTCTTTTAGGTTAAAGTTCTTAATTTGAGTTTACTGAGAGGTCTTCAAGGTTTTCATATACGATTCGTATGTTTACACGTATACAATTTGAATTTTCCTTAATTATCAACATGGAATGATAATAATCACTTTAGTGTTATGAAGCCTCTTTTGAAGTTAATTAAGAGCATATCCCTGCAGTTCCTGCTGCTTTGCTTTATTTCTTATTACATAAAACCCTTGTCCAGCTCCAAAGAAGAACTTAACTTAACAGTGGAAAATCAATTGATTCTAATTAACCGAGCTGCCAAATCATCTTCTATCAGCTGAATCAGGTAGCCAAGTTTTCAAAAGTTATGATTTATGTACAGCACTGCCTTCTGCCCTTCTCTCTACCCCCCTCCCCCCCTTCTTCTTCTTTTCGCACTGAAACTAATATCCATCTTCTTTGTTTATTTTACTTTTTCTTCTACCTTATTATCTTAATTCTCCCCTCAATTGATTTCTGATGTACAAAAGTTTGATCAAAAAGAAAAAGGGATTGAGTTATTACTTTATATAGATATATATGCTTGAAATATTCAATACCGGATGAATTCTTGTAGGCAGTATTCCATTTATACCACATTATGACATCAAGCCTACACCCCCATGCATGCATGGTATTTGAGTAAAATAAGCAGATAACCTCAGAGTTGATATTAAGCATACAATACACAATTGTGCATACAGTAATTCAGTGTACAAGTACAACCGACAACGGAACACAGATTAATAGAGTAATAGAGATGGGAATCTTGTTTTTTATCACACAAATGTTTTATTTCCATGTATGTACATATGTCAGCTTGATGATATGTGATTATACTCATATGTGTGGATCAATATGGCCTCTTGTGTATCCTTTCTTGGTTGCAAATAATGCACCACCATTTGCCTCGGCGTAACTAGCTAGCTTTGCACAGATATGCCAAGGTTTAATTTGGTCAAAGCGTCGTTTATAGCTTCTAGTAACCTATTTGTGCTTAAGATATATTGTGCATGCATCAACTTACCTATGTAGATAACATGGCATACATGTACCATATAAGTGTTTAACTTCTTATTGATTCCATTGATTTAAGCTCAATTGGCATGAAGACATTAAGTTGCAGGCTGAAACACTTCAGTGGTATGTGTAGTGTGATTCCTTGAACAATATCAGAGCTAACTATATTAATCAGCTAACTAGCTAGCATACGTATATGAGGTGAGCTAAATGATCATGAGAGATGATCATTAGTTCGTACATGAGGTAATACAAAGCTATCAGAAGAAAGAAACCATCCTTTGTGTGCTTCATTAGCTTCATAATGATGTGCATGTGAAGTACTCTAGGGGCCAGCGGCCAGTTTCGGCAATATCTCTGTTTGGAGCATTTGTGAAATGGGCAGGTGTGTTCATAATTTTAATCTCTTGAGGACGATGCTAATGTGTCTAACTAATTGGGTTTAAACTTTAAATTGTTAAACTTGACTTGAATTCAATCAAACCTAATGGTTATATATATTAGCTTCAAATTCAACTCAACCAATGCTAAGTGTGCTAGCGGCTTGCTGAGAAAGCCCCAACAGATAATTCTGCAAAGATTGCCGTACGTACCAAATTATCTAGTAATAAGCAAGCTAAGTATTCCTCAGAAAATAAAGTATTGGTTAGCTTACTGAAGTTATAGGCTTATTGGACTTCCTGTTAACAAGAAAAGGTGAGAAAATTATAAATCAGATCAAGTAGTAGCACCTTGCACTGTACCTGACATACCAACTAGCAGCATACATCTCTCTGCATGTGAGTTTGTGTGTGAAGTGGGTTTGCATGAAGTGTCACTATCTTTGCTTCTTTCCTCTACTGCCTTCACTATTTTATCATTTCTGTGGCCAATGAGCATGCTTGATCTACGAATTATTCAGTTCTACCACTATCTAGGACATCATATCACACACCTCTCTCTCTCTCTCTCTCTCTCTCTCTCTCTCTCTTGTTAGCATGTGTCTGATCAGGCACATGCACACACACACAGCATGGCAGCTAGCAATCCATCCACCTTGGCCTTTTGTGTGTGTACATCTGCATGGGCTAAACACACCTACACACACAATCATTGTTGCTAGGGGTCATCCATGGACTTTGTTTATTCATTATTTTGGGAGTGAGTGCCCACCCAGAAAGATGGTGAATAGATAATATCAGACTGAGCCATGATTTTAGCCTCGACTATGAGATTGTGTGTGAGATACTCCCAAGAGAGAGAAAGCATGGGAAACAAGAGAACAAAAGTGATCGGCATGCAGGTGTTAGGAAAGTGAGAACCATCAGCAGGCAGCAATAGTAACAAGCGTCTGATAAAAGTCATGTATTGGACCAGCAGCAGCTTGTTGATGTAGCTGCTTAAAGTGACAAACTGACAACAACAAAAGTAGGGCTAGAAAAGCTACCTGGTGTGAAATCTCAGTACTCCAGTCTTTTTCGATCTACCTTGATCTTTGATTTCATTTATTTCTCATTTTTTTTGTTAATGTGTTCATCACAACTCTCTCTCTCTCTCTCTCTCTCTAGATCTCTGTCATATGTTGGTATTCGATTTATGGCTAATCGTACCGTGATTGCAGGTGAGTATCCCGGGGAATAGCATGCTCAACATCGTGACAGTTCGGTGTGGACACTGCACAAATCTACTGTCAGTGAACCTGAGAGCACTGATGCACTCACTCCCAGAACAAGATCAGCTCCAGGTAACAATTGGATACCCACACAAAAAAACATACATATACTGAAAACATCACTGCACAAATTAAATCTACTTCACTGGCTGTGGTTGTTGTTGTTTTTGTTTTCGTTGCTTTCACTGTTGTTGTTTTTCTGTTGTTTCCCTTGTGTCGTTGTACTGGGAGGGGGGACGAGTCCCCACCTGATATATTAACCACAGAACCGGCCAGAAAGTTGGAGGTGGAGGGCAGTAGCCCTGGCAGTCCTGCTTCGTTCGTTTCAAAACAGATCTACTTCTTTTATTTTTCTGTGTTTTCACTAATAAGTAGCATACGTAGAATTATAGATATCTACTGAAACTTAAAACAATTCATGGCTGAGTTCATATATAATTAAAACTCATGTGAGGTGAAATACAGAAACAGTTGCAATGTCTCTGTACAATACAGTGTCTGAAAAGGATCAGTCTGATAAAAGAGGGATCCTATGCATGCGTTGAACGGCTTTCCTGACTACTGATACATAAACAGTGATTAGCCCTGCATTGATCCATGTTGTCGTCTGCGCTAGCTAGTGACGTATCTACAGCATGCCAATACTGCAATCAAACTCTCTAGTAGCTAATTAGCCTGCAATATCTGCTAGCAGAAGCGACGCTACGCAGGCGGCACAAGTCACTTCGATGTCTGTTTCCACAGTGCTACAACGTACAAATCAGGCCGTACGAGCACTGCTACGTTTGGTACATTCTGTCTGGAGAAGAGAAGTTTACAGCATCATGGTCTTGGGGTTTTACTGTTTTAGCTAACTGTAAGTTAGTCCCATTATTGCCACATGCATGACAGGAATTTCGTTAGACTTAGTAATTTGCACCAATGCAAGTACTACTGATAATCTTTTGTGATTAATTAACATGCGTTATACACTTAATTATACTCAGTTAATTTTTTTATTGTTAACAGGAGAACATCAAGGTCCATGGCATCAATGGCACCTTGCATGATCAGTGCGGCCATTTGGAGCTCGGTTCTTCATCCTCAAAGTTCCGACTTCCAATGATGTACTCGCCGCAAAACGAGCACCTGCTGCAGGAACAAACACTGAATAATGCTCGTCGTAAGTTGCATATCTTTGTTATTATTTGCACTGACCATGCTTTGGAATCTATATATGGGCATACTTTTTAGCTTAGCATCTAAATGCAATCATAAGTCAATACATTTTTATTGTTAAAAAAAAAGTCAATACATTTTTACTTAATTAACTTTTTTTTCTAATTCTTGCTTGAAATAATAGCTCCAGAGAAGAGGCAACGGGTTCCATCGGCGTATAACAGATTCATCAAGTGAGTTAAGCCTTAATTTCCTTATTATGTCGTCCATGGATCTATTGCATGTTATATATAAAAAAATTGCAAGTTATATATTTTTTCTATGGAGACCTCAACAACTTATGTTTGATTCAACCAAATAAATTAACATTGTGCGCATACATGTATATTCACGTGCAGGGAAGAGATACGCAGGATCAAGGCGAACAACCCCGACATTAGCCATAGGGAAGCCTTCAGCACAGCAGCCAAGAATGTAAGCATTGTGTGTGTAATCTTCAGTCGTTCTCTATAATAACTACGTGTGTCATTCTAGCTTAATATATAAATTTAACATAATCGAGGTTTCATTTATCTATGATTTGGAACATAACATTCTATGGTTTTGAGTCAATGTCTTACTCTCTGACCTTCACACTGGTCCCCACTACACCTTTTAGTTTAGCACCCTAATCTCATCTTCTTTAACTAGAAAGCATGGGTGACTATACTGTCACTTGTCAGAAATTTCAAAGAGAGAGGGCACCTGAACTAATTAGCATTAATTATTTTGCATACTGTTGCAGTGGGCACATTATCCAAATATCCATTTTGGTTTAAACTCTGGAAGAGAGGGTGGCAAGAAGCTAGTGGATGAGGCTGTCGCAGCAGCACCGGCTCCGAAGAAGATCCAAGGTTTCTACTGATAGATGTCCGCGCTCATCAATCATCAACTGGGTGGAAGAATTAATACACAAATTATAATGTACTGTGAGTAAAGAATTAAGGGAAAAAGGGAAAATTAAGTTATATATTACCTTATACCTTTTTAATTATACCTTTTTAATTGGTGAAAAACATGTGAAGAGATGTACCGTACATAGTAATAGTGGTGAGTGATAAGTGGGAAAGTGAAGCATACAATCACATGAATCGCTATTAGGCGCCATGCACTTGGTTGAACTGAGAAGGCTTAATAAATCATTTGACCTACCATATTATTACTGTGTGAATTTTGTTTGGAATTATCAAACTATATATCTATCTATCTCACCAAATTAAAGAGAGGAACCGATGATTGTTCGAATGCAGCGCATATATGTGTTAGGTTTAGTTTGCAGCTCATGTATACATGACGGTGTACTGGAATGCAATCTCTTTTAATTTTTGTATCGATTGATGAGAGAACAATTTTTTCCTTTAGTGCTTCAGTATTTTTTTTTTCACATTTAGTGCTGTTTGTCTTTTTCTTTTTTCGAACACACAAGCGGCAATGTGTTGGATTTTGAGAAACAAAACTAGGCACGGTAGCAAAGTATTACTATATATACTCAATGAATGTGTTCGATGTACGTACACTGTCGCATGCCTGACGACAGTACGTGATAACTAGCTAGGGCCGGGCTAATTGCATTAGCAGTTATCATCTTGGCCCTCTTTTCATCTGTTACAGTTTGTGGGATGACTGGACCACAGTCCACAGATAGATAGATATACAGTGGGTAGGGCTCGCTCCTGAAGTCTGAATGAGCAGTGCAGGTGCAGCAGCATCATGTTTTCCATGCCATTTCATCACTCCATTAAGTAGCTAGTGTGGCAGCAGACCTACACACAGTGCAGTAAACATATGTACGTATCACTGCTAGATCTAGTCCCTGGTACACAGGTGGCCTTCAATCCCGGTTGAGAACTGGTTTTAGTCTCGGTTTTCAGGTCACGCAACCGGGACTAAAGTCCATCCTCGAAACTAAAAAAATGGACTAAGAGCATCTCCAAGAGTACCCAATATTTTCTTTCTAAAAACATAAAATTTTATAACTCCTAAAAAAGTATTGGAAGGAATAAAGAAAGCCATCTTCAAGAGTTTCTAATAATTTACTCCTAAAATATAGAAGACAATTTTACATCAGAAATCTTATAATATTTCTAAATTATCTTAACTATTTTTATATATTCTTTCTCTCTTGTATATTTGCATCATGAACCCTTTCCTACTATTTATTCTTTTCACACCCTTCCACCTTTAGATTGGCCGACAAACACGCACGGGAGAGAGAAGATACGTGTGACTCGGAAGCGTGTAACTTTACACGAAACATGGTGAGTTTTCCCAAGTTCTAAAAGATTAGGAGTTGTTGGAGAGAGATTTTTTTTCATCATGCTAAAAACCAAGGATTAGGAAGGGATTTTGGGAACTCTTGGGGATGCTCTAAAGCCCATCTTCGAAACTAAAAAAATAGTTTAAATCCTGAGAGACCCCTCTCTTGTGGTGCGTGAGATTCCAACCCGAGACCCCTTGCCTCGCGCGTAGCTTCTTTATCAACTCAACTGCACACCACATATGACAAAGTCCTGGGCACCCTCCTTTTGAATTCACCCATAGGAGACCTTTAGTCCCAAGTGGAAGACCTTTAGTCCGGGTTGGTAACAAAAGCCACCCTTTAGCCCCAGTTGGGATTACTAACCGGGACTAAATGTTGGAGGACCTTTAGTCCGGGTTGATAACAATAACCGGGACTAAAGGGTGTCTTTTAGTCCCAGTTGGTGTTACCAACAAGGATAAAAGAGCCTTCGGTGCCTGTAAAATTTAGACCCGGGACTAATGCTCACATTAGTCCCGAACCCTAACCCAACCGAGACTAAAGGTGCGAACCGAAAGTCGTTTCTCTACTAGCGAGTAATATATACTACTACATATTGTATACATATGCATGCATGCATGTATCAGTAAAGCATCGTATAGCTCATAGTAGAAAGAGGAGGTACCAGCAGTAGTAAGTGTGCAAATGGCATTCTATCAACCAAGAAATTCTTGAATCGCTGACGGTCTGACGCGCGCCATTGCCATAAGGAGTACTAGTAATGTAGTAGCATATGCTCTCTCGGCTGTCCATGCAGAAACCAAAGCGTCAGAAAAGTGTAGGTACAGTAGTAGTAACAATTTAGGGGCAGGCTCAGGATCAGGGCTGAGGTTAATTCCGGCCGGCCGGCGAGCTGAGCACCGGCCAGGCACAAGGCGACATGGCATTAACGCCGGGCGTCTCCGGCCAGCCGGACGTCCGGTCCCCTACAAGAATGAAAACGGCCGCTTCCGCGGCCGCGCTGCCCTGGGCGACACATGCTGCATTCTGGTCTGAAGAATTCTGAAGAAGATGCCATATCAGACGTCGTTGCAGGCGTGGAATTAAAACCCCGGCCGGTTGCCATGCGTGGTGCCATGCATGCATTAGGTATACAGTAAATATACCGTATGTAGTATATGTTAGGTAGTATAACGAGCAAAGGGGGCAGGCAATATACACGACAACGTACTTAGCTGCATATGTATGCCCGTAACCTCTGGCCCCATAAATTTACAGAAGCAATGTTGCGCCCTGCTTTTCAAGCTGGGCATTTCCAATTCCAAGGCATTCGACTCAGTGCACTAGCTAGGACTGTCTCCTTAATAAAACGAAGGGACCTCCCAATAAGAAGGACGAGTGAACTGGATTGCGGCCATTTCTAATGAACTTCTTATTAAAGATCCTCCTCAATGGAATCCCTTCAATGCGAGGTCTTAGACAGGGTGATCCACTATCCCATCCTTTTCGTCCTAGCCATAGACCCTCTCCATACTTGAGCTAGCCAATGATTTGTATCTATTCTGTATATTAAGTGGATGGATAATGGTGGATGTCCAACTACTGATCCGTTGTCACGTACGCAGATGACGCTACAATTTTCATCAAATCTACCCAAAACGAAATCACAAATCTAGCACAAATTTTGCATCATCGGGGATTGAAAATGGCTAGGTTAAGCACAAACTTCCCAAAGAGCCTTGTGGCACCAATCCATTGTGAGAAAAAAAAACCTTTACTATTAGTACTTTTTGGAATCCCAATTGTGCACATGGGCTCCCTATCAAGTACTTGGGTATGCCCCTTAGCACAATATATATGGATCTGTTGATGAGTGGGTTTTCAACCTCTATTAGTGGACAAAGAGGTTGGTCACCTCACGCACAGAAGAAATACAAGCCAAGCAGGACACATGGCCTTTGTCAAATCAATCCTCTCTTCTCAACTTAACCCGTCTACTTCCTCTTGCTCGCTAAAAAATCTAGACGTTGACAGGGAATGATGAGCTTATTGGAGGCAAGTGCAAAGTAAATTAGGAATGTAGCATTCCTTCTATTGAGTTGGTTAGGCTATGAGAGTACATCCTCAACCTTGAGAAATTTGCTTGAGCCCTTAGGCAACACCGGGTGGCATTTTGTTGGCGTGAGTTAGCGTAACACCTTTCATATTACATTTAATAAGCATTCTATGCTTCTATCTCATTTATATGCCACTTGGAGCTAACACTACCATCATAATACAACTTGTGTTTTTCTGAGCATGGTGCAAAATCAATTAAAAACACAGGAAGGCGAGACATATATATTTGGCACAAGTAGTAGGAAAAGATCCTGAAGTCACCACATATTCAGAAATTTTACTGGAAGCAATTGGGCAAACACCGCTTGTTGTCGGCGTCACTTTCTACTTCCAATCGTCCACATCCACTTGTTGCCGGCGTCGCTTTGTACTCCTGATCGATCGGTTGAGACATTTTTGTTTCTCACACCTTCTTGGCGTCTCGGTCACTCGCCTGGCATGGCAATTCCACACGCCTGCACTGCACGCGACGTTGGTCGTCGGAATAAGGAGTCACCAGTGAGTCAGTGACAGCCTCGCTCATGAGTGCATCAACAACTTGGCACTTCGCTAGTTCTCAGTTCAGTTCTGATCAGGTCAGTTATGGTCTAGATTTCCATGGTCGATGTTGCCTAAGAAGCATTTGTCGAGTGCATAGAAAAGAAAAAAAAAAGAAAACAAGAAGATTAGTTCATAGAATCATCGCAGAAGGGTGTTATACATATTTTTCAATTTCAAGTAGTGTTGAAGTCAGTCAAGATCGAGGGCAGGAACATAATGTTCTGGACAACATTGACCTTGATACAGTTGTTGAAGATTTTGCTTCAAGAAATGCGTGAAGACATTTTTTATTACAAAGCACCGAAGCACTCTTGTTTTATTTGAGATAATCATAATAGTTATTTCACTGTTCATTTGGTATTTCGTTGTGTACTATCATTATCTTATATGAACGAAATTTATACCATGCATAAGTTAATTCTTATTGTTGGTACTGTACACTTATGTTAAAAAATAGTTTGATGGATTCCTATATATTACCAACCATCTTGTTTGGGCTTTAAAATCCTACTCCTAGAGCCGGCCCTGTTGAAAGATATCCGCCGCTAAATGCCATGTTTACGTGTGATGTCCAAAGCCCACACGTTGAAGAAGGATGATCATCGCCGTTTTCTCCGACAGCTTGATCGATGAAGAAGGATGGTCATCGCCGTTGTCTCGACAGCTTGATGTGCATGCACATGCATACGACGCATGCATGCATAAGCGACGACAGCAGCAGAGAGCAAAGAATGTAGGCCAGGCAGCAGATTTTCCAAGCAAAGCACAATGGAACGTACTGTAACAGAGGATCGTGCAAAGCGCCAAAAGCCTGACGATTTTTTTATGTCAAATCGCCCAAGGGACGGGAGGCATGCAACACAACGATGGGCGGCGATATGACGCTTCATGCAACGCGAACGACGCCACTGACCCTGCCTGATGCTGCCCGGAGGTGACGGGCACGCCTGATGCTGCCCTATAGTGCTGCAACCTGCAGGAGCCATGCATCATCTGTCGCGCGTGCGTGCGTGCCTGATCAGTGATGTGGCTGGCCGCGGTCGGCCTGGTGGCCCATGCAATTGCAAGGCAGCACGCCTGATGATGGCTCGGCGATCATGCAGATGGGAAGAGACGTGACAGCCTACTATGCCCTCGTCGCGTCTGTGGTGTGTACAGTGCTGTGGCACCGGTTACTGATCCATGCTTGGCAGTATCAGTAAGGCTCACCTGAAGTTTACTCCCCGTCTCATCGGATATTTGGACACATACATGAAGCATTAAATATAGACTACAAAATAACTAATTGCACGGAGTGCGACTAATTTGCGAGATGAATTTTTTAAGCCTAATTAGTCCATGATTTGACAATATGTGCTACAGTAAAGTTACAGTAACATGTGCTAATGATGGATTAATTAGGCTTAATAAATTTATCTCGCGGAGTACTAAGGACTTCTGTAATTTATTTTATTATTACTATCCGAATATTTTCATGTGACTCACCGATATGACACCCCTCAACTTTAGCGGCTGAATTTAAGAAGGCCTAACTCATGAAGCCGCAGTCAGCACCTCCGATCCGTGTCCTTGCAAGCAATATTTATATTATACAGATACAGTATGCTCGTGAATTGTAACCAAACGTATAGCTTTTTAAGTAGTTACATAGAGCTAACTATTTTGTTAGGTTTAGTTAGCTCATTAGCTTTAGCCTAACTTTATTTCAATTAAAATCTATGGCCCATAATATGCGACAATGGATTAATTTTTTTTCATGAACAAACAGGAGGGGTTTTGGGCCCCTACTGAAATTGATTAAGGAAGAACGGTTTGGTACGAAAAAATTGCAAAAATGACGCTCGAAAGATTGACTTCTTGATTATAATGACACTCGGGTGGATGACAAGTGGGTCCATCTGTGCCTATGAATGTGGGTCCAGTGTCCAATCTACAAACGACCGATGTTTCGAATCCCATTTTTGCAAATCGTCCGTTCGGTACAAACCGGAAAGAAAAACAAAGGAGACAGGGCAGCAAACAAAAGAGACAGGGCAGCAGAGACAATGGATTAATCTCACAAGGGAAATTCATTGGAGACTGGCTCAGTTTAAATAGGTTACTATTGTCTACATCAGTTGTGAAGTTAGAAAAAGATAGGAGGTTAGCTACACAGGCGTGCACCAAGTCATGACACGCACGGGCTCAGGCTCAGGTTCAGCCAGCCAAGCCACAACATGAATGGTGCAGCTCCAAACTTCGTGAGGGACAATGAACCAAGGGATGAAAAAGAGGGGTAATAGTAAGAGATAATCGTGAAAACGAGTGGCAAAAGAAGAGAGGTGGGAGTGGGAGGTGATAAACTGAGGAACGGAGAAAGGAATTTTCATAGAGCTAATTTTTTGTTCGATTTAATTAGGTTCAGCCCAACCTTATTTTAAATAAAATGCTAAGGTCCATATATATAATAAATGTTATCTGCAAAGGAGGATTAATCCTATACTGGGAAACTAACTCGAGATGAGTGGTGCGGCGCTAGTGAAGGTCTCGCACCAAGTCGCAACGCACACAGGCACGGGTACAGTTTGGCCAGCCAGGCCACACCATAAGTGGTGCAACGCCAATATAGATTTTGCAACTCCAAACTAATTGAGAGAGACGACGAAAAGTGAGAAACTATGAACCAATGGATAGAAGAAGAGGTGTGAAAGTAAGGGATGACAGTGAAAGTGAGAGACAAAAGAAGAGAGGTAGGAGTGAGAGGTGATGGACTTACGAAGGAAGAGATCTGTGTACTTTAATATTATTATTATTGTTGTTGTTATGTATAGTATAATTTAGAAAAAATTAAAATATTTATTTTGAATTTTTTAGATATATTGATTTTACTATGTATTTTAATACAATGTATATCTAAGTGCATAGCAAAATTATGTATCTAAAAAAGTCAAAATAGTTTATAGTTTGAAACGAAGGAGTATATTGTAATTATCCGACTGTATTATGGGCTGTAACTTTGTTCTAGCGGCTTTCCTCTCCAACAACGCGCCTGCCCGAAAAACCACAGAGGAGTGCCTCTTCAGTGGCAGGCCTCGATCCTGAACCCAATGGAAACTTGACAAGGCGCCTGTCTTGGCAACAACGGCCCGTCGCCAGTTTCAGCCCGGTACGGCCCAAAATCACCACCACCAAACGAAGTCAACTCGGCCGCTTGGTTTCCTTTCGAGTTCCGTCAGATTGCTAACCCCGTGGGCCGCCTTGCAAGACAAGGTGCCATGTTACAACTTTGTACAAGCCAACACATACCTTTTAATTTCTCTGTGTTTTAGTTCTGAAAATGAGTCTCTAATAATATATGATACTAGCAAATATGACCGTTCGACACTCACGTGTTTGATCAACTAATTTTAATCTATTATATTTCTACTTTGGAAAATATCATGTATGCTAAATCATCTTTCTACTGGAGAAGAGCATTCATTAGGTGCTTTATTTCCTCAACTAATCAAATCTACTTTAGACATATATATATATATATATATGTACATTCATTTTAATCTTGAGCATGTTAGAGCATCTAAGTCTTTATAAAATTTACTCTCTAAATTATCATTTGGAGGGTCATTTGAGTCAAAATCGCTTTTTCTATATCTTTGAACAATTTTTTTATATCTTGTTCGCATTGTTGAGAGTCATCCTCCTCTCTATCTTTGGCTAGCGACAAATACGAAATAGATGATGTCTATATTTTAGGAAAGATAAAAAGTATCTTGGAGTTCCTCTTATCTTAGAATGTCAAACCGAGGTTGAGAACTCGAGCTTTCGATAATGGCCGTGAAAATACAATGACACGTCAACATATATAACATCCACAGTAAACCAATGCGTAACAGCAACAGCAAGATGAATTCGATTAATGGTCATGTTTACTTTCTCATACTTTTTATCTTCTTCATTCCTTCACAATTTTGTGTTGGTTTATTTTTATATACAAGTATATGGCTTTTATATATAATGTTGATCGACCGTGTCTACGTCAGAAAACTATCCATCCAATCGTTGAACCCCGGAATCAGAACGAAAGACGACGAACAAGTAGGAGCACAGCAATCATGATCAAGAACAAGAAGCAGAGTTCGGCCGTGTGCTCTTCCCTTCCCTAGGTTAATCATGCATGCATGGTTTCTTTCAACTCCCAACGAACAATCAAAAAAATTCGGAAAAAGAAAACGCGAGCAATCTCATCTGGTAATAAAACTGGTCGTCGCCGCTGCAACAATCTGCAGTCGATCGATTAATCAATCGCAGGAGTTCATCTTTTTCCTATGGGGATTGGTTGGTTGATTGGGCTGGTGTCTGGTGATGCCATTGCCATGCGACGACGGATCGGGATCGCGCGAGTCCAAGAAACCGGCAGGGAGAGGCGGCGGTCACGGCGGTCACGAGCACCTCCTCTCCTCGCGCTGCGACGGGCTCCGCCAGAAGCCGGCGCCCTGGAAGCTAGCCCAGACCGCCGCCTCCGCCTCGGCGAGATCGTCGCGCCTGGCCGCCGCCGCCCCCGCGGGCCAGTAGCAGAAGTCGAGGGCGTTGCCGTTGGTGTCCTTGGCCGCCGCCGCGGTCGGGGAGGCGGCGCCCGACGCGAGGAGCCCGCCATCTCCTTCTTCTTGGCCGCTGCGGCGCGGGAGGCGCGCCTGCGCCTCGCCCGGGCGCGGAGAGCGCGGCGGCACAGCGCGGCGGGCACGCGCACGGCCGCGAGCACGACGAGCTCCACCACCGCGCAGGGGAAGCAGCAGCACACCGCGGCGCACTCGGCCGCCGTCCCGCCCGCCACCTCCCCGCACCGCGGCTGCTCCCGCGCCCGCCGCCGCTCCCGCTCCCGCCGCGCCTCCACGGGCGGGGACCGACGCAGCCGACGCTCCTCCTCCATCGCCGCCGCAGCCGCCGCGGGCGGGGACGGCGACGCTGACCCCAGCCCCCGCCCCGTGGACGTGGACGCGGACGCGGACGCCGAACGCCGGTGGCTGCGTCGCTGCTTCTGGTGCTGGTGCTCGTGGCGCCGGCCGTCGCGCGCGTGCTCCCCGCAGGCCTCGGCCATCGTCGTCCCCGATCGCGCGCTGCTCGTCGTCGTCTCCGCCGCCGCAGTCAGAGACCGCGGCGCGCCGCCATCACCTGGAGATTCGTGCGGGGGAGAGCGAACGGGCGGCCGGCTGGGGAGGAGACGCATTCGCACGGGTAGAGAGAGAGGCGGTTGCGGCATGCGCCGGGCGCCGCCGTATATATAAGAGGGGCTCTTCTCCGGCTGACGGGTGGGACCCTCTCACATCATATACACGAGGGACGAGGCCACGAGGGGGAGTCGTGCGGCGTGCGCGTCCGGGGAACCCGTTAGGCCGCTCACCCTCCACGGCAGGGGCGTCCGTTTCCGGTTGGGAGGCTGACACGTGGGGTCGATCTATCTGTCTTTTATCCCTCCCTCTCCTCTTTTTAGTTCCTCCATGGCAACACTATGCACCTGATGGTAAAATTAGCACCTGATGGTAAAATTACATGGAAAAAGCTTTTGCATCAATGCGACCAATCCCCATTAGTTTTGTAGCTACATAGGTTAGGAGTGTTGTGGATCATATCGATCGGCGTCGTCTTCTCCTTCATCGGGTAGGTATGTTATGACTATCAAATCTGCCCATTTTGGATACAAAAAGACTACTCATCATTCTAATGAAAGGGGAAGAAATTGGTAGAAGATACCTCGTCCAAATAGTGTTTGTAGTGTTCTTATAGTGCCTTTGGTTTCATTGTTTAGTTTATGAAAATTATATGGTTTATGATCTCCTTTCCATGAAATCGTCGCTATCACGTTCAAATGCTTACCTGGTCATGTCGTTTTTTATATAAAATAAAATTGACCAGATTTAATCGATTTGTTTGAAGCATGTAAGTAAGATGCTGGCGTGCGAGGAATTTGTTGACCTGCGCGCACGTTGCGATTGCGATCATGGAGGTAAATGATTGAGGAATGCGGTGCCCACGTACGTGCCTTGATATGATGCTATAATATGTCTGATCCGATCAGCAGAAGAAGGACGGCGGCGGCGGTGGCGGCGCGCGCGGGCGGCCGGCGGCGATGGTGGACGGCGGCGGGTGGGAGATGGACTCGCCGCGGTTCCGTACGATCCTGCGCGCCACCAGCGGGCGCCGGAAGCGCGCGCCCGAGGTGAAGAGCTTCTCGCACGAGCTGAGCTCGCGGGGCGGCAGCTGCGGCGGAGGAGGATGCGTCGTGCCGGCCATGCGCAAGATGGTGCGCGGCGGCGGGCTCGGCAGCACCACCCCGGAGGAGTTCATCGGCGCCATCCGGACCAAGTTCATCCGCCTCAAGGAGGAGGTGGACAGCGAGCTGGGCGTCTTCGCGGGGGACCTCGTCGACGTGCTGGCGCGGGCGGGCGACGGCGAGGGCGCGGAGGCGGAGGATCACCATCCGGACGACTGGCGCGTCGCGCTCGAGGACCTGCTGGTGGTGGCGCAGCGGTGCGCGGAGATGAGCCCCGAGGAGCTGTGGACCCGCTGCGAGGGCGTCGTGCAGGGCCTGGACGACCGCCGGCAGGAGCTCCCCGCGGGGCTCCCCAAGCAGGCGCACACGCGGATCCTCTTCATCCTCACGCGCTGCACCCGCCTGCTGCAGTTCCGCAAGGGCGCCGCCGTGGGCGGGTGCCGCTACGCCGACGTCGACGACGACGACGTCAGGCGCAACGTGCTCGGCCTGCACCAGCTCAGCGACCTCGGGCTCTACCCGATCCACGTCGACGGCGGGGACCTCGGCCGCAAGAGCACCTCCAGCCTCACCGAGCTCAAGGAGCGGCTCATCAGGCGGCGGATGCTGGAGCACAAGCAGCTCACCGTCGACTTCTCCCCGGCGAGGATCTTCTCGCCGTCCTCCGGGGACGGATCGGCCGCGGCTGACGGTCACTCCCTCAGCGGCAAGATGGCGTCGTGGAAGAAGCTCCCTTCCCCCGCCGAGAAGAACAAGATCAGCAAGAACGCCGCTGGCGCGGGTGACGCCTCCGGGGATGCTGCCGCCACGGCTACCAAGACCGCCGCCGCCGCCGGCGCGGGCGACGACAGCCCTGCGAAAAAGAAGCCCATCAACCGGCACGGCAAGACGACGGTGGACGAGATCGTGGAGCGCGTGGACGCGGCGAGCATCCACATCCACCCGGACGGGCTGGCGTGCCTGGGCGGCGACGCGGCCATGAACCTGGCAGAGATCCCGTCCCGGTACCCGGAGGCGCAGCAGATCATCGTGGACGGGAAGCCCCGGATGATCTGCCGCATCTGCGACTTCGAGATCCCCATGGCGTGCGCCGAGGGCCACTTCGTGGTGTGCACGCTCGCCGACCGCTGCGACGCCAAGGGACACAGCGCGGACCAGCGCCTGCTGCGCGTCGCCGAGGTGCTCGACCGCGTGCTCGCCTGCTTCGACACCAGCGGCGGCGGCTCCCTCGGTGTTGGTGGTGGCAGGGCGAGCACATCGTCCGAGTCGGACTCCAACAACGCCGCCGACCACGACCCACTGTCCCAGCTGCTGACCGTGCCGTCCACGGAGCTCTTCTCGGAGGGCGCGCTGACGCCGGCGTCGGGGAGCCTGCCGCAGTCGCCGCTGCTGACGCCGCGGACGAGCCACGCCGAGTCGCAGCTGACCAAGCACAAGGCGTTCGCGGAGTTGGAGAACTTCCAGCAGATCGAGAGCCTTCTCGCCATCGCGCGCGGCGTCGAGGGCATCAAGAGCTCCGAGTACAACTCGCTGGAGGACCTCAGCTCCTACCTGGAGGACCTCAACGCCGTGATCGACACGCGCAAGGTGGACGCGCTCGTCGTCGAGACGTTCGGGCGGAGGATCGCCAAGCTGCTGCAGGAGAAGTTCATGCAGCTGTGCGGGCAGATCGACGACATGGGCGGCGCGGGGGCGGACCAGCAGCAGCAGCACCTGCACCCGATCGACGAGGAGGGCCCGATGATGGAGAGCGGCGGCGTGACGACGACGAGCTCGCGGGCGACGACGCTGAACGGTGGCAATAACGCCAACAGGTTCAAGGACCGGACGTCCATCGAGGACTTCGAGATCATCAAGCCCATCAGCCGCGGCGCCTTTGGCCGCGTGTTCCTGGCCAAGAAGAGGGTCACCGGCGACCTCTTCGCCATCAAGGTGCTCCGGAAGGCGGACATGATCCGGAAGAACGCCGTGGAGAGCATCCTGGCGGAGCGCGACATCCTCATCTCCGCGCGCAACCCCTTCGTGGTCCGCTTCTTCTACTCCTTCACGTGCAGGGAGAACCTGTACCTGGTCATGGAGTACCTCAACGGCGGAGACCTCTACTCCCTGCTCAGGAACCTCGGCTGCCTCGACGAGGACATGGCCAGGACATACATCGCTGAGCTCGTGAGTTGCCGCCATTGCCAATGCCGTTTGTTTCGTCGTCCTGTCCATCCTCTCATTTTGCTGCAACAACTGCAAGCAGGTTCTTGCGTTGGAGTACCTGCACTCCATGAACGTGATCCACCGTGACTTGAAGCCTGACAACTTGCTGATCTCTCGCGACGGCCACATCAAGGTAATCCGTACGCGTTGCCTTCTGAAGTTCTGATGAGAGTTGCCTTTCCTCGCGGTGTCAGTGTCAGTCCAGTCAGTGAATTTTCGTCAGGTAATCGTTGGCCTGAATGAATGAATGATGTGCATGCAATGCAGCTGACCGATTTCGGGCTGTCCAAAGTGGGCCTCATCAACAGCACGGACGACCTGTCGGGCCCGGACGTCAGCAGCGTCCTCGTCGGCGACCACCAGCCGACGGACGCAGAGCACCGGGAGCAGAAGCGGCAGCAGCGGCAGAAGCAGACGGCAGTGGGCACGCCGGACTATCTGGCGCCGGAGATACTGCTCGGCATGACCCACGGTTCGTCTTCTCGTCATTGCCTGCTGCAATCTTCTATTCAGACTATTCTGCTCGTCAGCTTCATTGGTTCTTCAGAGATGTGAGTTGTGATTCAGTGACATGGTCTGTTTCATTTCCGACAATACATGCAGGCCCAACTGCAGATTGGTGGTCGGTTGGCGTCATCCTGTTCGAGCTGCTCGTGGGGATTCCTCCCTTCAATGCTGAGCACCCGCAGGTACTTAGTATGCGCATCGCCTGTCGGAAATTCCCTGTCTGTTATTATTCGCAATGGCATGAATTTGAATTTGGAAGTCTGTAACTCTGTATGCAGTGCAAGTGGAGTAATTTTCAGAAGTGAATGGACAAATCCTTTTCAGTTTCTTAATACTAATTTGATTTGATGATCAACCTTATTTCTAATATGGGTGTATTGCAGATAATATTCGACAACATAATGAACCGAGAAATACCTTGGCCACAAGTACCAGAGGAGCTGAGTTTTGAAGCGTATGATTTGATTGACAAGTAAGTCAGAAAACATATGAGGTTCTGAAAACTTCTACAAACATCACATGCGCCCACAAGGTCTTCATATGTGCTACCAACAAATTACCATTTTGACTCATTTTCGAATCGTATTAGGTTGCTGATGGAAAACCTGATGCAAAGATTAGGCGCGACCGGTGCTGGAGAGGTACTCCTTTTTCTTGGTCTTTTCATTTCTCATTTTCATAAGAAATCCCTACTCTTGTGCACGCGACACTAACTGAAATGTGTTATTAGAGCAGGTAAAGGCTCATCCGTTCTTCAAAGACATCAACTGGGACATGCTTGCCAGACAAAAGGTTACTGCTAAACCATTTGACAGTTTTCAATTTTTCTATAGCTAAACAATGACAAAATTGAGAACAACAAAAAATCAGGCACCCGATATATATTCTTCAGAGACATCAACTGGGATACGTTCTTGTCTTGTAGGTTGCATTCATCCCTTCCACAGATGACGAGTACGACACGAGCTACTTCGCCTGCCGCCACGCCTGGGGCAGCGCTGACGAGCAAGTCAATGCGGTCGGCAACGATTATGACGACCGGAGTGAGACCAGCAGCATGAGCTGCGGCAGCAGTCCACATAGCGATTATGAGGAAGATGTGAGTGTCCTGACCTGTATCATATATAAACTGATCCCTCCTTGTGATTGTGAGAGTTCAGACGTCCAAGCCATTTTTGCAGGTCCTGATTCTCATCTCATCTCATGAGTTTGAATTTAATTGGTAGCAGGGTGATGAGTGTGGTAGCATGGAAGAATTCGGCGCGCCTTTGTCGGTGAAATATTCTTTCAGCAACTTCTCATTCAAGGTAACTATTATCTAAAAAATTCCTGTTCCATTGCAGACGAGTTTTCTTTTCTGAATCTTGTCTTTGATGACTGAATTTTCCTTTCCTTCTTTTTGTGTGATGTGCAGAACATCTCTCAGCTAGCATCCATGAACTACGACCTGATGACGAAGCATAACTTGGATCCTTTGCAGTCCTCGAAATCTTGAAAGCAGAGCAGCAAAGGTAGGCAATGTTCCAATTCTGAATGTCGTCAGCTATTGTACTGGACATTACTAGAACCTACCTACACAGTTCTTCAGTTTTTGTTAGTCAGGAACTGAACCTCGCCAGTCACCACACCAGCAGGCTTTTGACCGAAGATGATTGTGTGTGGCAATGAACCTGCAGTTTCGTCTGGAACAAACATGTTGCCCAGTCAATTTTTCTTTGTGCAATCAAAGTCAAACGCACGCCAAATCCGAATCGCAGGTAGTGGTGAGATGAAGAGTTTATACTTTGTAGGGAAGCTTCTGCACATGAAGGATAGGCAAAGCAAATTTGCTAGTAATATGCAATTCATAGCTTGCACTGAGACCATGCGTTATCAGAAGATATATAGGATGGTATCCACCGTTGTAATCTCTGACAACTGGCTGCAGATACATAGTGAATATAAACCTTGTTTGTAGAAAGATGGCGCAATAGATAGCACTGTAAATCTCTCTTTCTTTCTTTTTTTGTAAAAGAATATTTCTGAAACCTGTAAGTGTGCTGAATTCGTTCGGTGCCTTTTACAGTGTTTGCATCAACAGAAACAACAGCAGTTGCTCCTACCATGCAATACAAAGCCCTATCATAAATTGTTCACGGCTAATGAAAAAACTGTTCACAAATTATTCCTCTAACAATTTACATGAGCAAAAAAAAAATTACAGAAAAAGTTTATCCCAGGAAGATTATCTTTATGAATGATGGATGGGTGACGATTCATTCACCACGAGAAAACGAGGGGTTGTAGGAGGTTGCAGCACCAGGCGTGGTGTTGCAGAGGCCAGCCAGCACAGCTCTTATCGCAGGAATCCTTCTATCACAAGAGGAGAGTCCCCAAGGATCCAGTCTCCCCTGCTTTTAGAACTTGTGCTCTATCATAATCTATCGTTCTCTGAGCTCTTGCAGCTCCCACACGTACGCGCCAAAAACGAAAATTGCGTATCAACTCTGAGCACCAGAGACACCGCAAATATTTGAGTATTTCACTACTCAAACCCTATGTTGAGCTGGTTAAACTATTTACAGTTTTTTTTACTGTCACCAGGGAGGGGGGAGAATCCCCACCTAAATAGTATTGATTTAAACTGGACTAAAACCAGTACAGTAGCCTCAGTATAAGGGCTAGATTGTGGCATATCCATTAGTAAGCAAGAATAAACATGCATCGGCACAAGGTTGAAAGGTGGCAGAACCACAAATACACCAAAAGAGAGAAAGAGCTAAAACACCAAGGCATAGAAACTCTTCGATGATGCCTTCAGGGAGGTGAATGACGCTGCAACGTAATCATCGTCAGCTAAGTAGAAGCTTGGCAAGGCTTTCGCCCAAGCCTTTGCCGAGGATCAGGCCGATCCAGGAGAAGCAGCAGCAAGAGATTCTCAACTATCAAAATCATCATATTCGCCTCCAAAAGTTTCTTCGAAGAAAAGTTCAAACCCTACGTTGAGTTGTTTTTTAAGAGAAGCTATTTTGGTTAAACTATGTATAGTGTTTCAATCACCGATTAGTGGAATCGGCATATTCGCCTTCAAATTATGAGTTGTTTGGGTTTATCTTTCTCAAAGAATGTGAGGGTTGCTATACTTTAGGTGCTTGAATTTTAAGAAATTTTTAGGTAACAATCCTACGTAATCAACTAATACAATTAAACGGACAACTTACAAGTAACAATTCATAATTTTTTCTAATCAAACAATAACAAAATTGTACGCTTGCATGAACAACAACAAGCTCCTTGAAACAGAATCTCTCGAAGAATCACTCCTTAGCCAAACAACTAAAATGCACATCGATTTCATGGGGAGCAGACAAGAAACAATTATTCATTTACACTTGAGCTAAAATCCATGCTCCTCGCTAGTCCCTATTTAATCCACACACTAAAATCACTCTAAATCAATTCTTACCTGCTCCTAGAGATGGCAATGAGTATATACCCATTAGATAGTGCGATCTCCATACTCGGAGCTGCCAGACAAAATTTTATCTGCTAAGATGGGTATAGAATACAGCGGGTACTCGGATGGGTAGTATGTTCCCGTATGGCCATACCCGTATCCAAATACCCGATGGATAACATACCCATGGGTGAAAAAAATCTTATAATACCGCCTCTTTATCACATAAAATCCATCGGATAGTCAGGTTTCACGTACCCATTGACATCCACTCTTCACCCTATTTCTCTATCAAAAATAGAATCTAGAAGTTGAGCTTAGCCAATCAAGCCCGCATCCAGTATAAACCACCAATCGCAAATCAACATGATCCCCACAAAGCCGCCACTTCGTCCTTGTAAAAACGACAGCTCGGTGATGAGTTTATTACTGCCCACAGCAACAACAACCGCAAGGCTCACGTACGTCAGCTCAAAACCTGAGCGTGCATGCCACCACGCCACGTCACGTGCCGCGACACGCAAGCTACAGCTACCACAAGCCTGGCGGCGCGACGGGCGACGGCTCACGCGCGCTTGCCGCTGGAGATGCCGCGCGCTCTGAGTGATCGGCAGGCGCCGGCGGGCTGACGAGGCCCCTATGCTAATCTTGCGCTGGCGGCCGTCGACGATGACCGCGCCCGCCGCCGGTACTCCTCGCTGTTGGACGACGGCTCCGCCACGTCGTCCGCGAAGCGCACCTTCTTCTTCTTCTTCGTGCCCCGCGGGCGGCGGGGGCACCGATCCTGCTGGTCCGCCGCTCCGTCGCCGCCGAGGATCCTGACCCTGAGGTCGGCCTCCAGCCGGCGGTGGAGGCGGTTGGAGATGAGGATGACGCTCGTCGACACCACGGCGATCGCGACCATCCCCAGGCAGCTCCCCTTGCCGCCGCTGCTCCGCCGCTCCATCGCACGCGATCGATCAGCAAGCCGCTGCCCTTCGACGACGATGTGGTGGCCCGCCGCCGGTGAAGGTAGGCTCGAGGACTAGCTAGCTTGTCGATCCTGTGCTGTGCGTTGAAATTATATAGAGAGAGAAAGCAAGCCAAGGGAGAAGGGTGAGACAACGAACGAAAAGCGTGGTGACTCCGAGTCGTGATGACAGAGGGAACTAATAAAACCGTTTTTGGAAGGAAGAAAATAAAACACGCTTGAATTCTACGCGCGCACACCTGGTTTATATTAGGAGACAGAGTAGAAAGATACATGTGGAGCATGTCTCTTCAACAACGAGCCGCCTAGGCCATGTAGATTACACGCATACCCATCTGTTTTGGCACTACTACACAGGACAAATAGAAAGTTAGGTCATGTTTAATATAGGGAAGTCAACTTTTTAGCTTTTAATTTCAAGAGCAACTCTACTTGCTGAATCTATTTTGCTAGAAGAGCTCATCGTCTTTTTTTTTCTCCTCTTCTACTTCTCTCACTTCCTTCTCATGCCAGGCTCCCTGCGCATGACCTGGCAGCCCTCCCATGCCTTCTAGGCAAAACTAACCTTCACGCAGCGTGGGGCCCACTATTGCGGTGGGAGCCAAGAAGAGCTGTGTTATCCTAGATGGTAAACAATCATTAATTTGCCGTTTGTCCGTTATTTGGATTAAACGGCCACTTACACATTTATTAAAATGGGATAAATGGTCGATTAAACAGAAATAGTATACCGCCATGTAGTGCTTAACATTGTGTATACCTGGCTAAACAACCATTTAAGTGAACAGTGACTAAGAGAAGCTACTATTTGCAGCTCCATTCAACACCCACCTCATGTGGGAGTAGACTTTGAGGGACTGCACTTGCGGAGGTATTTAAAAACACCCGTTTGGCACTAAACAACTCTTGAAGCAGCTGAAAGGTCCTAATATGGCTAGAGGGGGGGTGAATAGCATATTTAAAAATCTACAAGCCAACTAGAACAATTTGATTAGTATGACAAATAGCGAAAAACAAACTTACTCTACCTCTACAAGGGTTGCAAGCCACATATCCAACAATTCTAGTTGTTATGATCACTAGGCACACAATCTACTAGGTCACTACTCACTAAGAGCTCTCACAATTGTTACACTAAAGAGCTCCACTAAATGAACTTAATCTACAAAGCACGCTCTCAATTCTAGCTACACTAAAGAGCTTGCTATAGCTAGTTTATGAGAATGTAAATGAGTAAGTGAGATGATTATACCGCCGCGTAGAGGAGTGAACCAATCACAAGATATATACTTAATCAATCACTGGGAGAATACCAAATGGCAAGAGACAACCAATTTTCTCCTGAGGTTCACGTGCTTGCCAACACGTTAGTCCTCGTTGTGTCGACCAACACTTGGTGGTTCGGTGGCTAAGAGGTGTTGCACGAACCTCATCCATATAATTGGACACCGCAAGAACCTACCCACAAGTGTGGTAACTCAATGACACAAGCAATCCACTAGAGTTACCTTTTCGGTGCTTCTGCCGGGAAGGCACAAGACCCCTCACAATCACCGCGATCGGAGCCGGAGATAATCACCAACCTCCACTCGACGATCCTCGCTGCTCCAAGCCATTTAGGTGGCGGCAACCACCAAGAGAAACAAGTGAATCCCGCAGCGAATCACGAATACCAAGTGCCTCTAGATGCAAACACTCAAGCAATGCACTTGGATTCTCTCTCAATCTCACAAAGATATTGAATCAATGATGAAGATGAGTGGGAGGGCTTTGGCTAAGCTCACAAGGTTGCTATGTAAATACAAATGGCCAAGACAGTGAGCTTGAGCCAGCCATGGGGCTTAAATAGAAGCCCCCATGAAATAGAGCCGTTGGCTCCTCAGTCCACTAAAAAATAGGGCGATCGGACGCGCCGGTCAGATCAGGGTCCGGTCACGCGATGCATGCCACGTGGCCCCTGCTTTAAATGTTGATCGTCCGATCTCAACGGTCATCAGTACATTTAAGTTGTGACCGGACGCGCTGCTTTGAAGTGACCGAACGGACCAACACCAGCGTCCGGTCGTTTCCAGTAAGGTTCCACTCGTGA